GAACTCATTGACGGGCAACTCTACAAAAAGACGTTCGGAGGGCCGTACTTGAGATGCCTTCCACCGAGTTTGGCGGCGGCTGTTATCGAAGAGATACATGAAGGGATTTGCTCCAGCCACCAGGGCCCCCGCACCTTGGCTCGGAAAATCATCCTGCAGGGATACTACTGGCCGACCATCCAGCAGGATTGCTTCAACCATACTCGGAAATGTGCAGTGTGCCAGCAATACGCTCCCGTCCCCGGACGGCCGGCAAGCTTCTACACGCCGATGACGATTGCATTACCCTTTGCTAGATGGGGCATAGACCTGCTACGCCCTCTCCCGATGACGACCGGCGGAAGGAAGTTTGTTATTGTGGCGATTGACTACTTTACAAAGTGGGTAGAAGCCGAACTGCTTGCCTCCATTACTGAATATCAATGTCAAAGATTCCTCTGGCAGAACGTCATATGTCGTTTTGGGATTCCAGAGCAAGTCGTCACCGATAACGGCCGGCAGTTCGTCGGCAAGGGGTTTGAGGCATACTTGGCAAAATGGGGCATCAGGCACTCCAAGGCCTCGGTGGCATACCCGCAGGCCAACGGCCAGGTGGAGAACATGAACTGAACCATCATGGATGGGATCAAGAAAAAATTGGAAGTCTACAAATCCACCTGGCCGGAGCAACTCAACTACGTCCTCTGGACGTACAGGACAACCCCAAGGACGGCGACCGGTGAGACACCTTTTGCCCTGGCATACGGGTTCCAGGCCAAGGTACCAACGGAGGTGCTAGTGCCCACACATCGCACGAAGCATTTCCAACCGGAGGATAACGAGGCCAACCTACGAGCGGAGCTCCATTTCATTGAGGAGCGGAGGGACCTAGCTGCTCGTCGCATGGAGGAATATCACCGAGCTACCCAGAGATACTTCAACAAGGCGGTGAAAATCCGCGAGATTGAAACCGGGGACCTCGTCCTTAGGAAAAGAGAAAAGAGCAAGCCACTTGAGGGTGGCAAGATGGCCAAAAATTGGGAGGGGCCGTACAGGGTCATGAGGAGATGCAACCAGGGGACGTTCCTCCTCCACACCTTGGAGGGGAGCCATGCTGGAATCTGGAACGTCGAGCACTTAAAGAAATTCTATAAATAGTTAGGAATAGATTGTCTTTATCATCGGTCGAACGCACCATGTAATGTAAACGATCATCCTTCTTTTAATAAAAGATGCATTCCTACCTACGATCAGGGACGAAGTGCCATCGAAATGATTTCCTCCCCCGAAAAAAAAAGGGGGAGAAGGGGAGAGAAAAGCTCCCATATGAGGGAATCTTGAGGAGGTATGCCAGATCTTCCTTCACCGCGTATGACGAACGTCTCCCGGCGCGGAGGCCAGTAGGAACGCGGGGGGGGGGGGGGGGGGGGGGGGGGGGGGGCTAGACGAACCAAAGGGAACCTCGGCAAGATAAACCAGTTCCTCCCATGACACGCGGATCGACGAACACCTTCTGCCAATGCAGAGGGCCAGTAGGGCCACGAGCGTGGGGCGACGAAAACGGGAATCCCGACGTGGATACACCAGTTTCCTCCTTGCGATCGTCGGATGACCGAACGTCTTCTTCGAAGCAAGAAGATTAGTAGGACCACGACAGGGACGAACGAAGAAACGGGAATCTTGACGAGGTATGCCAGATCTTCCTTCACCGTGTATGACGAACGTCTCCCGACGCGGAGGTTAGTAGGAATGCGGGGGGGGGGGGGGGGGGCTAGACGAACCAAAGGGAACCTTGGCAAGATAAACCAGCTCCTCCCATGACCCGTGGATCGGCGAACACCTTCTGCCAATGCAGAAGGCCAGTAGGACCACGAGCGTGGGGCGACGAAAATGGGAATCCCGACGCGGATACACCTGTTCTTCCCAGAGTTGGGATGACGAACGTCTCCTGCGAAACCAGGAGACCAGTAGCTCACGAGGCTCGGGAAGAACGAAGATGAAGAAAAGACTCCTAAAAAAATGCTAGATAAGGCAACGATGGAGCGAACAATAATCTTTATTCTTCGGCACTAACGGCCGGAATGTTACAAGTATAAGGAATGACAAGGCAAGGAAAAAGAATTGATACAAGTACAAGACTACGAGCGGCAAGTTATTTACGACCGGCATCCGGAGTTGGGACCTGTTTGGCCTTCTCCCGGGCATCAGCTTCTTCCTGCTCCTTGCTCTCCCTGAGCAGCTCAAAGGCCCCAGCATGGGCGTCCACCATCAGGGAGTCAAACCCCGCGGCCGCCGGGTCAAACGGCGCCCCAAAATGGCGCTCAAAGACGGGCAGATTCTCCGCCACCAGGCCGACCATGCCTTTTTGATAAGTGTCATCAGCAAGGTCAGATAAGAAGCGCCGGCCGGTGGGAGTGTCCTGAAGCAGCCTGAGCCCGTCCAGATAGGGATCCGGACAAGTTGCTAGGAACTCGTCGACGAACTTCGGGAGGAACTTCCTGGCCAGGGTCCGGATGGCGCCAGCGTAAGCCTTGGACTTTTGAAACTCAATAGAGCCAGATTCCTTGATCTTGGAAACATCAGCTTCGTAGACGGGAACATGATTGTCCACGCCCGTACGACGGAGAGTCACCTTGGCATGATCGACGGCCCACATCCGGCTGCGAAGATCCACAAGCTCGGCCTCCTGCTTCCTGAGGAGCTCCTTCTGGGAGGCATTCTCCTGCACAAGCTGATCATACGCATCGGCCTTGCCCTGGAGGAAGCTGGCCTTACCCTTGGCACTCTTAATCAGTGCGTCATGCTCCGCCCGCAGGGCGGCCATCTCCCGCCCTTGCTGCTCGAACGCCGCCCTGGCCCTGTGGAAGTAAATTTCGGCCTTGTCGAGCGTACTCTGGCCGCATTCAAGAAGATCCTCCGCGGCCTCCTGGGCGGCAAAATCTTGGGGCACCTTGAGGTTCAGCCCGCACCAGATAGAGGACGCGGTCTGGCCGAAGAGCATCATCGACTCCTTGCGGGGACCAACCCCGGAGAATTCTATGAGGCCAAGGGCTGATCCGCTGGCTTCAGCTGACAAGGGGGGGACGAGCGTCGCCAGAACTCTTGGCAGCCGGGATATCCTCGTCTTGGAGGCGACGAATGTCGGAGTTCCCTGGAAGAGACAGAGGGGGCTTACTCCGGGAAGTGTTCTTCCGCTTGAGGGGACTCCCGGGCTCGCCATCAGATTCATCGGCCACTATTATCGCCTTGGAGGCGGTGCCATCGACGCGCGGCCTCTTGGAAACACTAGCTTTCGGCGTGTTGTCAGCTCATCCTCTGCTGACCCGGGATTCGGTTTTCGGGACGAGCGGCCTCCTCCCCTTATCTTGATCCCCGGGCTCGCGGCCAGAAACGGACGAAGCATGGTGGGTACGTCCCATTGAAGGAGTAGACGGAAAGATGCCTGCAGGAGGGGAAACAAGACGTTCAGACCCATAGCAATAAAATGACGACAAGATTATGCAAATACAAACAGACGCACCTAACCCCGCCCGAGCAATAAAGGGTTCGGCCACCGACGACCGAAGGTTCTGGACACCAAGTCCAGATATGCGCTTGGCATAGCCGAGCTCCTCGTCTGTCATGGGCGGCGGAATGGACTTTACTGGGTAGGCGTTCCACCGATCAGGGAACGGCATCGGTGAGCCTACTTCGGCCAGGAAGAAACGTTCCTCCCAGCCTTCCGGGTTCCCAGAGTTGTTCGAGAACAGGACCATGGACGGACGGGCCATCAGGGATAAATACCCCGTACGTCCATAGGGGGCTAGCCGGAAGAAGTGGAAGAGCAGGTCGACGGTGGGCGTCACTTCAACGCTGTGACACCTAATGATGAAGCCCGCAATGAGCCTGTACGCGGCGGGGACGAACTGAGCTGGCGCAATCTTGAGACTCCTAAAGAGCTCTAGGTGAAGGCCATGAAGGGGGAAGAAGAGCCCGACCATAACCGAATCCAGATGGACCACTACGAAGCCGGGCAGATGGCGCATGGGATTGCGCAGGCGCCGATCGTCGTAGACCCTTGGGGGGTAAAACCACTGGCTGATCAGGCGCCTGTCAGCATTCGTCAGACGTTGGCGTTGATGCCGAACGTAGGAGAAACTCAGGCTATAACGGGGAGGCCGGGGTGGCATTCCCCGTTCGTAATACTCTAGGTCATCGCCTGAGGAGCAACCATCGTCGAAAGAAGTTCCAGACGACATGACAACGAACGGTACCTTGAGAGTTCCGAGGTTCAACACGGCTTGTCAGGAATCTAGAGAGGGAAAGCAATTGCGCAGAATAAGGAGAAATGTGAGTGAGCAACATGATTCCGAATACTTATAGGCAGCACCGCGGAATCACGCCAACTGAAGCGGGACACGTGGTGCCTGGAGACCGGTCCCTACAACGGCATTTAAGATGCCTTGATCGCATCCTGGCATAATCGCAACCAGGAGGCCCGGATCGAAAGACGCCAGAGACCGCATCCCTCGGCCGGGCCTAACATCAGCGGCTAAGTTGGGAGAACACGCGCGACGTGGACATTAGCGGGTGACACACATGACAGCCGAACGTCTGTATCGCGTGCTGATTGCGGAAAGTACGTTCGTATGTCCGTACTTATCAAAGTAGCTAATGATGAAAGAATCAGCCACCGACGAACGTCGTCTCATGGCGTTAAAGAATCGCCAAGAAACAGTGGTCGATGGTGGGGCCGTACCTATAAGATGGGCATCGCGGCCGGTATATTGTGCCGTTTGGCAAGCGGGCATCGGCGTCGAGCGTCGCCACCCAACGACAACTCCCGCGGTACAATCCGCCGTCCGACTACGTGCAGGGCGGACGCGAACGTCCCCGCGAACTTTAAACTATGTCCCAAAAGGAAAGGAATGGAAGCACAACGAAACTCCAAGGGAGAATTCAAGATAATTAGCAAGGAATTGAAAAATGGACAATGAAGCAAGAGATCACGAACGTAGAGACAGTCATGAGGCAAAAAAGATTTGTGTATTCCTCAGCTCTAACGGCTGGACATTACAAGTACGGAACAAAAATAACAAGAATGCAAAACAAGATTACAAACGATGCTATACAGGGGAGGAGGACTCTGGCCGGCCGTTGCCCGGGACCTGCTCCTCTTCTTCAGCTTCGGGCTCGGGGGTCGGGGGCTCCGGAACCTCCCCTCTAGCTTTGGCCTCCGCACGGCGCTGGTCTCTCCCCAGCTTCCCGAGAGCCTGGATCAGCAGATCGTCATCTGTGTTAGCTGCCAGCTCGAAGTCGGCCCCTTGCAGCCTTGCAAAGATGGGGAGGGTGGCCTTAACCCCCTCGTTGTACCCAGCTGCAAAGGTGCTATCACCGACCTCATAAAGGAACTTGTGGGATAAGGGAGAGCTCTCAAGCATCCGGACGCCGAGGGGCAGGCGCTGCTTGGGCGGTATCCTCGCCAGAGCTGCGGAAAACACGTCGCCGAGGGCCCCGGCGCAGTAATCCTGGGCTGAGTCCATGAACTCTCCGGTGTTCCGGTAGCCGGAGGTGTCGACCAGCCACTCCGGGACTGCATCCTTCGCAGCCGGAAGCACCGGGACAAGCTTGAAGCCGGCTCTCTCCAGGCCGGCCAGCTGGCTACGAGACTCAGCCCGCAGAGCTGCAAGCTCACCCTCCTTGGCCGCAGCCTTCTCCTCAGCACGACGAGCGGCCTCCCGGGCTTGGAGGAGGGCGGCGTCAGCTGCCGACTTGGCCTCCTTCAGGGCGGCTTCCCTGGCAGCTTCGGCCTGCAGAACCAGAAGCCCGGACTGGACAGAGAAAGAAAGTTAGAACATATAACCAAAAGACGAATAGAGAATAATGGATATACTCAGACAGGGTGTATAGGAGGTACCTGAAGAGCGGCGGCCAAAGCAGCGCGCGTCGCCTCAGAAGACGAGCGGGGGGGGGGGGGGCAGTTCAAGGCCGGCCTTAAGGGCCATCTCCCTCCAGAGCTCCTCCGCTGGGCGGCTCAAAGGCAAGGAGCCGGCGTCTTCAATCAGCAGGCCGGCGGAGGCTGCCTCACGACCTCTCTTCTGCTTCTTCTCCGGGGCTTTTTCTGCCCCCTTCAGAGGAGCCGCCTTAGTGGGGACGGACGGCGGGGGAAGTGCCGCATCCAGAGCTGGGGCCCCGGACCCCTGCGCCAGCATGGTGGCGATCAAATGCTGCTCACCCTCAGCCGTTCGCCGGGCAGCATCGGAGGCCGAAGAGTTGGAATCCGAGGCGGGGGCACTCCTGGCCTTTGCCAACGCGGCTTTAGCAGTGGCCGCCTTGGCCTTCCTCGTCTTCAACATCTCCGCATGATTCATCTGCGCAGAGTCCGGTGGGGAACCTGCATGAAAACAACAACAAAGGGTTAGAAGACGAACGGAGAAAGGGCAGGACACTCACCCCGAAGGACAGGACCGCCCGATGCCCCGAGACGAGCGTCGAAGGGAGAAAAGGGTCCAGAGACACGGGCGGTACCTATGCCTGCCCCGGAGAGTGCTTCAAGGGTCAGAAAATCGGCTATGGGGCGAATGCCGCCCTGCAGAACGCCCTCAACGTCTTCACGAAGATCGTCGGTCAAGTCCGGCGACTCGATCTTCGGCGGATAACCATTCCAACGAACGGGGAGAGGAGGACCGTCATATCTGAGGAGGAAGAAGCGGTTCTTCCAGTCATGGATAGACGAGGGATAACTCTTGAACAGCCTCCTCCCTGGACGTGCGGCCACGCTCAGATAACCGTCAGAGTTCTGGGGAGTGATGCGGTAGAAGTAGTGGAACAAGTCCAAGGTGGCGGTGGCTCCCGCGAGATGGCAGCGCACCAGGAAGGCCGACACAAACCTATAGGAGTTCGGCATGAACTGCGCCGGGGCCACCTGGAAGCAGTGGAAGAACTCCACATAGAAGGGGTGGAGTGGAAACCGCAGCCCGGCTTCCACGGAGTCCAGGTGGAGCATGATCATCCCCGGACGTCTCCTCATCACGTGCTCAGCACCCCTGATGCTCCAGACGGACGGCGGGGGGAAGAAGATGCGGATTTTGTTGAGAGCAACGCGGGAGAGGACTTGGTCATGATCAAGGGCGCTCTTGATCGGGCAGATGTGGCGCTCCGTATCCATGAGGATGCCCAGATCATACACCTCTACGTCAGAGCCGGATTCGGCTTCGTCCCCAGAGTTGTAATCGGCACACTACAACAAAATTGACTTTTTGTAACATTTTCTTTGTAACATTTTTATTTTTGTTACATATAGCATTAGAAGTTAACATTATGCAACAATTGTAAATAAATGTTGCAAAACATCTAAATTACTCAAATTATGCAACACTTATTAAAAAGTGTTACAATTATTAAATATTATGCAACATTTATTTTCAAGTGTTGCTAAAAACAATAAGGGTAAGTATAAAGCGCACTTATACTCGGTACCACATCACTCACTAAACACCTGCAACACATTTTAAAAGAATAGTCTTTGTAATTACAAAGAGAAGCCTAATACTCCGTAGTTCAGGCAGGAGACCCCACAGACAATCTCAAACCCAAAGGCAAGAACACCATCTAAACCGGCGCTCCTATTCCGACATGCCCTCGCCGACATCCGCGCCTCCTGCGCCGACGTCCGCACACTCCTGCGCCGACGTCCGCACCCTCCTGCGCCGACGTCCGTGTGCTCCTGCGCCGAGATACCTCCACTCCTCCACCTACCGCCGCTCATGCGCCTAGCTACCGCCTCTCCTCTGCCCACAGCTGCTCCTCCGCCTACCGGCAGTAATTCTCTGCTATTTCACCTTCCTCTCTCTCCTAACATATGAAGGCAAAATGGTTTTAAAATATGCATTAGGTTTATTTTGTATACTTTGTCTTCGGTTTTTTATATACTTTTTATCCAAAATTTATGTTTTGGCTATGATTTGAGATAGATTGATCTTAAATAATATATATCTGGGAGTTCAAAGCAGAAGTAAGTAACTCTATTTAGTCCAGGTCATAGTATGTATGTTTTGGAATGCCTATAATGTGTTTGTTAAATTGTGCCAATGAGAATTTTTTCAATTGTAGCAGTAATCTTTAATAACCTTTGTAAAGTTCAAAGAGGCACCCCTTGGGATATAGTTCTGTTGATTGGAATGAGTTAATTTATAATCCTCCTAATGTTGGGTGGAATATACAGTTCCTAATAAACCTAATTAATGGTTCTGTGTATTGTTCATTTCAGGGACCATCTGTAAAACCTGATATTGTCATAGGATTTTTTGAGCAATGTTCAATAATATAGTTTGAGTAAACATGTTTTTGTTCACCAGTCATTTGACATTTGTATTTAGATAAGGCAACTAAAGCTGGCAAATTAAACAAACTCTTATTAGAATGGACAATTCTGGAACTTCCTCACTAAGGATCATGTGATCATGGATGCTTGAATTAATAATATACTTCTTCCGTATGCTAAAAAATTAAGCAAATCAATGGACTGTGATGTTAATGGAGCACACTATTGGTGTTTTATAGCTTGTTGCAGGTTGGCCAAGTGAACTAATGGGAAACCAGGTGATGAAAAGAGCTATCTCCTAAAAAAGTGTTAGCTTTCAACTGGATTCCTTTGTCAATAATCTAAGTTTTGTATCGTACGCAAGTGTATTCCTTTTAATATTTTTTAGTGATTCCTTTTATTTAAACTTTGTTATGTTTGTTTTCTTTTATGTCTCTCGCAGGTAAATGCTAGCTAGGAAGATTGTGATGCACTGAATGATGCTATTATTGCTATCATATAATCTACTAGAGTATCATCAAACCACTCCATTATATGATAGCCACTTACTAGTGATTACTGGTCAGATAATCTCATAATCATCTAGCCACTTACTAGTAATTACTGATTTACTGTTGCTGTAATTTTTTTAACGGCTGCCTCAAATAAATCAAGAGAATTTACCCAAAATAGGACTAAAAAGGTTTGAAAATTCTAAATTAGGACTGCCATGTTTTTATTCCCAAAATAGGACTAATTACTGTCATGTTTTGGCAGTACCAGACTTTAAACATGACAGTATTTTCCAAAATTGGCAGTAATTACTCCCATTTTGGGAATAAAAAACATGGCAGTCCTATTTTGGAATTTTCAAACTGTTTTAGTCCTATTTCGGGAACTTTCCCATAAATCAATTTATACATACTACTAAGGATGTTTTTACTTGGACTGTATTTGCTGGTCTGGTCTGAACTGGTCTGGTCTTTCTTTGTATTTTTATAACTATCCAAGTCTGGTCTGAACTGGTCTGGACTGGTCTGGTCTGGGACAAATTACAGTCCAAGTAAAAACATCCTAAATCTCTAGGTGGGGGTATGGTTAAAGATTATACAGAACACTATATTTTCAAGAGGTTAATTTTATGTGGTATAAAGAATCAAAATTTTAAAAAAGTTCTAACATTGCTAAAGTCTACCCAGCTAAAAACAAATTGCAGCATCTATGGATCTAGCTGAAATTGATAAATGGATTTCACTTAACACCATTTTCATTTTATGGAGTTAAAAATTAGTGAGATAACTATGCAGTAATAAGATATAAGTTCTTTTTTAACCCGTTCAGCTTAAATAGAATGTTAATTGACAATTTTGTGTTTCTTCTTTTTCTCATGCAGTAATCAAAGTCTCACCTTTTTAATGGTTTTAGTTGTTTCTACTTCCAAACACTACTCACTATATCTTCCTTATCGTATTTTTCTTCTTTGTTTTCTTCTTTTGCCCTTTAACCTTATAAGCACTGTTGAAATATAAACTAGAATAATATTTAAGATGGAGAGAATGATTTTCTGTGTATTTCATTGGAGGGTTAAGTCCCTATAAATATACATTACAAAGATAGAATATTCCTATAAGATTCTATACAATAATAATATCCTAGAGTATATTCCTAAAATATTCTAAAGTATATTCTAAGGATAGAAGAATATTCTAAAGTATATTCTAAAGTATATTCTAATGTCTTTCACACTCCCCCTCAAGTTGGAGCATAGATATTTATCATGCCCAACTTGTTACATAAATAACCAACACGAATTCCATTTAATGCTTTAGTGAACAAATCTCCAAGTTGCTCTCCAGTCTTCACATATCCTGTAGAGATCAATCCTTGTTGTATCTTTTCTCGAACAAAGTGACAATCGACCTCAATATGTTTTGTTCTCTCATGAAACACTGGGTTGTTGGCAATGTGTATAGCAGCTTGATTATCACACCAGAGTTTAGCAGGCATTGGTGTCTTCAATCCGATTTCACTCAGCAAATGGTTTATCCAGATTATCTCACATGCCGATTGTGCCATAGCCCGATATTCTGATTCAGCACTCGAACGAGAAACCACATTTTGCTTCTTACTTTTCCAAGAGACGAGATTACCACCAACAAAGATGCAATAGCCAGATGTGGATCTCCTATCATCTTTAGATCCAGCCCAATCAGCATCTGCAAAACATTCTATTCTCATGTGATCATGATTTTGGTAAACAATACCTCGTCCTGGTGTCCCCTTCAAGTAACATAATATATGCTCTACTGCATTCCAATGATCAACTGTCGGAGATGACATATATTGACTCACTACGCTCACAGAGTAAGCAATGTCTGGACGAGTGACTGCGAGATAGTTAAGCTTTCCAACCAATCTTCTGTACCTTTCTGGGTCTTCGAATGGTATGCCTTCTGAAGTGAGTTGCACATTGGGAACCATGGGAGTTGTGTTTGGCTTTGCTCCCAATTTCCCTGTTTCAGTTAGTAAATCAAGTACATATTTACGCTGAGATAGAAATATGCCTTTCTTACTCCGTGTTACCTCAATACCCAGAAAGTATTTCAATGAGCCTAGGTCTTTTGTTTGGAATTGGCTATGAAGAAAATTCTTAAGGGCCAAAATACCTGCGGTATCACTTCCTGTAATCACAATATCATCGACATACACCACAAGCAATGTGATACCTGCTTTCGTTTTTCTGTAAAAGACAGAGTGATCTGATTGACCTTTTATCATTCCAAACCGTTCAATGGATTGACTGAATTTCCCAAACCATGCACGAGGACTCTGTTTCAGACCATAAAGAGATTTGCGAAGTCGACAAACTTTCCCATACTCCCCCTGAGCAACAAATCCTGGAGGTTGCTCCATATAAACTTCCTCCTGAAGGTCACCATGTAAGAATGCATTTTTAATGTCCAACTGGTGTAAGTGCCAATCATGAGTTGCAGCGAGTGAGATAAGTAACCTGACAGATGTTAATTTAGCAACAGGAGAAAAAGTGTCAGAATAATCAACACCATAGGTTTGAGCATAACCCTTTGCAACCAATCGAGCTTTCAATCGAGCAACAGATCCATCTGGATTAACCTTAACAGCAAAGACCCACTTACATCCAATAGACTTCTTCCCTGAAGGCAAGTATACCAAATCCCAAGTACCATTCAGATCCAAAGCATTCATTTCCTCTACCATGGCATGACGCCATTCAGGATGAGACAAAGCTTCTTTAACAGATTTGGGAACAGAAATA